TTTGAAGAGTACACAGCCGAACATCGATGCCAGGCAGGGATCGCCACGTACCACAGATTGCGGCAACATCTGCATTCTAGGAGGGCCTGGCCTTTGCACAAAAGGCTCCGTCTTTGGAAAGCCTATGTCCTGCCCACGGTCTTCTACGCCTTAACGGCGGCGGGCCTTACGGACAAAGGCGCCGCCAGCGTTCGCATAGAACTTGTGAGGCAGCTGCGTGCGATTGCGGGACAACCCCGCCACATCACACTCGAGTCGGATGCCCAGTTCCTGGACAACATCGGATTGGACCAGCCATTGCAGATCCTGGTGCAAAGGCAAAAGAGCGTCTTGGCAAAGACCAACAGTCTACAAGGACGCCTCTCAGCGCAGGATGTGCGGCTCGATCCCGGGCTGATTGAGCATGAGACCAACATTTTGCGCAAATTTGAGGCCCTGGCGCAACCTGGTTGCGCGACTGAAGCGACGATCGACTTGCCATGCCCCGAATGCGGCCAACATTTTCCCACTGCTGCATCCCTACGTCAACACAGAGCAATGGTGCACCGCCGAGGTGACAACAAGCCAAAGGGGGAGCGCTTTGATAGATTACTTCACGGCAAGGACGGACTCCCCCAATGCATCAATTGTGGTCATAAATTCCGCTTGTGGGAGGAACTTCAGAGACATGTTGAGCTGGGCCGGTGCCAGGCATCCACCAGAGCCGATTATGATGATGTCCACCCCCCTCTGCTTGCTAAGGTCCTGCAAAACGAGATCATCTTCCCCGACATTCTGCACAGCACGCCTAGCGATGACCTCAAGAAGGAACTCATTGAACGCTGTGCAATCTGTCGGCAATGGCTGCCGAACGAGAATTACATGAAGGTTCACTATGGTCGGGTGCATCCAGACGAGTGGCAGGCGCACAGCTCACGATTGCGGGTGTGGTGTTCGCAGCGTCTGGCCCCCATCAAAGGCACATGTCAGTTTTGTGGACATCGGGCGCAACAAGGCAGGGATCACAGGACCACGTGCCCGGCCCTTTTCCAATTGAGCATGACATGGTTCATTAATGGAGGCCCACCGGATGACACTGACATGGCAGGACTTGCTGAGGCTGCGTTCCCAACCGCGACGGAGGTGAAGCCTTTGCTCAAAACNNNAGACTCAAAACACACATGCAGCGGCAACATGGTGAAGTTTGGCGGGACATGCATCCTAAAGTACAGCTTTTGTGTGCGTCGTGGGTGGGCTCAGTCACGGCTCCTTGTTCCCTGTGCGGTGCCAAG